TGCTGGTCTTCTGCAGTGTCTGGATATCCTTCATGCCTACCTATCTGAGCACCAAAGGAAAATACATGGTGGCCGTGCAGGTCTTCTCCATCTTGGCCTCCAGTGCAGGACTTCTGGGCTGCATCTTCTTGCCCAAATGTTTCATTATTTTGCTAAGACCAGATCTGAATACAAAAGAACATGTGATGTCAAAATAAAATAGAAATTAAAATTTGGCACATCTTTCCCCAAATGTCAATTAATAATTTCAGAAATATTGTTTGCTACCTGTATGTTCCTAAAAATCAAACATATTTCTGTTTTGTTTTAGTTTTCCTGTTGAATACCCAATAGAAATAAAGTACTGCATTTCAATATATTCAGTCCTTTTTCTTTGTGCTTAAAATTGAGAAACTGTGCTGGGAGTCTTTTTCTTTCACTGTTTTAGTTGTCCTTTTAAATGCAGTTGTTGAATCTGCACAGTCAACTTGAATCTCTTGGCCTCTTCTTTTTTTCTCTGTCACGAAATACTCCGATAGGCAATTACTTGCTTTCATTGAAGTGTCTAGAACCACATCCCACCCTCTAGAACCGTGATGGCGAACCTATGACATGTGTGCCACACGTGGTACACAGAGCCATTTGTGCCGGCACATGAGCCGCAGGCAAAGTTACTTCACTGTGCATGTGCATGCCTCACAGCTGATCTTTTGGCTGCTTTGAGGCCTTTTTTGGCCTCCCAGAGCCTTGAAAAAAGCCTCTGCAGGCTTTTCAGGCTGAATAATAGGGCCGTTTTGTCACTTCCTGTAATACCGGAAGTGACGAAACGGGCCGATTATTCTTCCTGAAAATCCTGCAGAGGCTTTTTTCAAGTCTCTGGGAGGCCGAAAAAGGCCTCAAACCAACCAAAAAAAATCAGCTGTGAGGTGCAGTGAAGGTAAGGGGTGGCGTTGGCAGGGGGGGATTGTGTGCACATGTGCAGGGGGAGTGGGGGGGGGCGCATTGCCTTCTGGGTGCTGCCACACAAGCATGTGTGCAATTTTTGGCACAGGAGCCCAAAAAGGTTAGCCACCACTGATGTAGAACTTCATCAATTTAGTATACAACATAATATGTTGCCTAGTAGCTGAGATTCAGTGTCCTGTTTCCCTTGGATACTACCAGAATGACAATAGAGAGTAGTACAGAAACTGGCTCATAATCCAGGTGTTCTATTTGTGTTCTACAATCTTTCCATTTTTGACCAATTAATTTGGGCAGAGGTCATGGCTTTAATATATTCCAAAAAGTTTTTTAAATCTCTCCTATGACACTGGGATCTTATCCTAGATCTTGGCTAGGGCAAACATCCAGTGATTTTCAGCCCTAACTTTGGTCAATAAAGTCATGTAAATGAATGAATGAATAAAGCAACATTCTGATTAGAAATTCTGATAAGAATTTCTACCTAAACCAGATGGGATTATGAAGCTGAGCCAACATCTGACAAAATTCTCCTGGGCTTTCTTTAAATTTGGGGAAAGGTTAATTCCAATTCATCATATTTCCAGAGGTCCGTGGTAGCATGGAAAACTATTGGGAGATTTCTATTCAGGTTGGGTAATTTATCTTAATGCAGCAATTGAGGCATTTTATTTTTATTTAGTTTGTTCATTTCTTTAGCCACTAATCTCAAATTTGGGTGGCTTACAATCACAATATAAAGAATACCAAAATATTCCCTCAGACATATAAATATGGTTAAACAACGGGAAGCCATACAATAAAGTATAGAAAAGAGCAACCAGGATGATTGGAGACTAAAACATATGAAGAACGGTTACAGGAACTGGGCCTGGCTAGTCTAGTGAAGAGAAGGACCAGGGGAGACATGGTAGCAGTCTTCCAATACTTGAGGGGCTGCTACAGAGAGGAAGGGGTCAAGCTATTTTCAAAAGCACTCGAAGGCCAGACAAGGAATAATGGATGGAAACTGAACAAGGAGAGATTTAACCTGGAAATAAGTGAGAACAGTGAGAACAATCAACCCATGGAACAGCTTTGCCTTCAGAAGTTGTGGGAGCATCATCACTTGAGACTTCCAAGAAGATATTGGACTGCCATTTGTCAGAAATAGTGTACGGCTTCCTGCTTGGGCAGGGGGGTTGGACTAGATGACCTACAAAGTCCCTTCCAACTCTGATTATCTGTTATCTGTTTAACTCACCCATAGACCCAGACATGCACAAACAGTACAACTGTTTTATGGGCTCCCCACCACTCTCTGATCTTCAGGCCAAATTATAAAGCTGCAGGCTGTTCTGGAATGCCAGTGTAGCCTGATCTTGAGAGGAGAATGGTGTTTCTTATGGTGGCTGAAGCAGCAGAAAAAACCCTCCTCCTAAAAAAGTAAAGGTACAGGTTCCCCTTGCACATACATGCTAGTCGTTTCCAGCTCTAGGGGGTGGTGTTCATCTCTGTTACAAAGCTGAAGAGCCAGTGCTGTCTGAAAATGTCTCCATGATCATGTGGCCGGCATGACTAAACACCGAAGGAGCACAGAACGCTGTTATCTTCCCACCAAAGTGGTCCCTATTTTTCTACTTGCATTTTTACATGCTTTCGAAATGCTAGGTTGACAGAAGCTGGGACAAGTAATGGGAGCTCACTCTGTTATGCGGTGCTAGGGATTCGAACTGCCATACTGCCGACCTTTCTGATTGACAAGCTCAGCATCTTAGCCCCTGTGCCACTGGGTCACTCTGGAAACAGCAAAGGTCGTCACTCGTGTCAGGGGCACCTGTGGTGGCCTGAGTGGTCTGCCAGTGAAAACAGGCTCTCAAGCTCTGTTTTTGGCTGCAAAGGCATCCTGCAACCTCTGACAGCAAAAATGGAGCTCTGGAGGGCTGCACACAGCCCTTGCGAGGTCTGTTTTTGCTGGCAGAGGCACTGTGGGCCAGTCCATTGCTGTTTCCAGAGTGACCCTGTGGGCCAGATCTAAGCACCCCGCAGTCTGGAGTTTGACACCCCTGCTCTAGTGGATGCAAGCCACAACAAGCCTATTCTATAGAACCTGATGGAGGGGGGGTAGATGCCAATAGGGAGAAGTAGTCCCTCCAAAACCTGGCTCCCATGTCAGTTAGGGCTTTATAGATTATTAGCAACACCTTGAATTGGTCTTGGAAGCAAATTGGTAAACAATGCAGTTTGCAAAGCAGAGGTGTATTATGTGCAGATTTAGGGGCACATACAGTAGTTGTATTCTACCGGTTCAACACGGTTCAGTTGAACCGGTTGAACTCCGAGGATCATTGGTGAGTGAACTGGTTCACTCAGATGATCAGCTGCTGGGCCGTCTCACTCACCCTGGTTCTATACTCACCTTTATTTCCTGCTTTTCAACCTCAGCTGCTTCGCGAGGCACAGCTGATTGCCACGCATCAGTTGTTTCACACACAGGGCTTGCATCAGAAGGTGGGTTGCAAATGCTGCATGCACGCAAAGTGCATGCAAAGCGCGCACTCACACCAAACTGGTAGGATTTTTTTTTTAAAACCCACCATTGGGAGCATATAACTGTTTACTCTGCTGCACTTTGCAGCAGGAAAGGAAAAATCTTTTGAATTGTGGGGAAGATCAGTTTTAAGATGAATGGGCTGTTTGGTAGACAAATTGAGACCTAAGGAATGTGCCTTTGTAACTTGCAGGTGTCATGGCAAGATTTATAAGAACATTCCAATATATTTTAGGTTTTATTTTTCCCCATACAGATATTAGTGAATTTCTTATATAGTGATTTTGGAAGTATCTATGCCATTTCCCCACCCTCATACCATAGAAACAGAGGTGGTATTCAGCTGGTTCTGACCAGTTCTGGAGAACCGGTAGTGGAAATTTTGAGTAGTTTGGAGAACCGGCAAATACCACCTCTGACTGGAGATTTTACAGTATCCTTCCCCTGCCATGCCCACCAAGCCATGCCCATAGAACCGGTAGTAAAAATTTTTGAATCCCACCACTGCATAGAAAGGCATGCCATCCCAGTTGTAAGTCATGTCCTTCTAAATATAACGCTCTCTTCTGCCTTAGGGTTATCCATTCTTTTAACCATGTTATTACACAAGCTTGGTAATATAAGAGCCAATCTGGGAATCCAAATCCTCCATTTTCTTTGGATTCTTGCAGCATTTTCAATTTTATCCTTGCTTTTTTTCCCTTGCCATACAAATTTAAATGTTAATGTATTCAAGTCATTAACAAATTTCTTTTCAATTTTTATAGGTACAGTTTGGAACACAAAAAGGCTTAAAGTGATACTTATAAATTAAAAAATGTGCATTGGAGGAATTACTATCTGAAAATAATGAGATGGATTCCTACAGACAAAGGGTTGCACTCATATTTATACATTTTGGAAAAGAGAAGAAAATGATACAGTCATATGTATGCAGAGATAACAGATGATGTAAGCTTAGAAATTCATAATTAGGAAATCACAAATATTTTGCTAACTTTCTACTGTTACTGTCTTCAATAAAATATATATTATCTTATTAGGGAGAAACATGTCCATTATACTGCAACAGAAATTCTGATAAAGCTCCTTGAAAATCAGACATTGCAGATTTCTTTTCTTATGTGCCAAATAGCACATAGTCCTTCTTAAGAGCTGCGGTGGTGCTTAATGCAGTACTGCAGGCTACTTCTGCCTGCTGGCTGCCTGCAATTTGGCAGTTCAAATCTCACTGGCTCAAGGTTGACTCAGCCTTCCATTCTTCTGAGGTCAGTAAAATGAAGACCCAGATTGTTGGGGGCAATAGGCTGACTCTGTAAATTGCTTAGAGAGGGCTGTAAAGCATTGTGAAACAGTATATAATTCTAATTGCTCTTGCTATTCTATGTTTCTATTTTGCTAATTCAGTCCCACTCCTCTAAGGATTTGTTTTCCTCCCAGAGGAGAAATATTAAAATGTCAAAAGTTGCTTGTAAGAATTATTAATTGATATTTTGGAGCATATCTACCCAAAACTCACATTTCTATTTTATCTTGACATCACATATTCTTTTGTATTTAAATCTGGTCTTAGGAAAATAATGAAACATTTGGGGACAAAGATACAACCCAGAAGTCCTGCATTGGAGGCCAAGATGGAGAAGACCTGCACAGCCACCATGTACTTCCCTTTGGTGCTCAGGTAGGTGGGCACAAAGGACACCCAGACACTGCAGAAGATCAGCATGCTGAACGTAATAAGCTTGGCTTCATTGAAAGACCCAGGCAGATTCCTGGCCAGGAAAGCCACTGTGAAGCAGATGGCAGCCTGGAAGCCCATGTAGCCAAGGGCCCCATAAAACATGGCAACAGAGCCTTCATTGCACTGTAGAATAATTTCTGCAGATTGAGAATGCATGTCAGACTCAGAGAATGGAGGGAAAACAGCTAACCAGATGCTGCAGAGAACAGCTTGGAACCCACTGCAAGAGAGGATAATGGAGTTGGCCAAACTTTTTCCCAGCCATCTCTGAACATTATTCCCTGGTTTTGTGGCCCAGAAGGCCAGCACCACTGTGATGGTTTTGGCCAAGACAGAAGAAATGGCAGCAGAGAAGATGATGCTGAAGGCCGTTTGTCGTAGAAGGCAGGTGACTCTCCTTGGCTGACCAATGAACAAGAAGGGGGTGAAGAAGGAAAGCAGGAGACAAACCAGAAGGATATAAGAGAGGTCCCGATTGTTGGCTTTGACTATGGGAGTTTCTTGGAATTTAATGAAGATTCCCAAGATAAAGCATGTGATCAAAGAGAGGAACAAGGCAATGGAAGTCAAGGCAATGCCCAATTTTTCTTGATAGGACAGGAAAGTCTTAATCTTGGGGATACAGCGATTTCGGTTATTGTTTGGATGTTGATCTCCTGGACATTTGTTGCATTTTTCTACGTCTGAAAAAGAGCAAGAGTAATATTTACCTTAAAGCTTATTCTTTTGTAAATGCTAAAATTCTTGGTTCAAGTGTTATCTGAGTTGGAAGCTGTTGAGGAAGTTTAATTTAGCTTCTTGGAGTGAGCAAAGAAATGGTCTCATGGTCTCTATGATCTCTTCCAAAACTAATTCCACTGAAAGGAATCTATTCCTCTGGTTAAACTAGCTGCAATTTTCCTATAAAGAGACCCTAAAACTCTGACTTTGGGAATGGGCCAAAAGAGTACTTTTGTGCTGATTCCTGTTAAAAACAACAGGACTAGAAAGATAACTAGAAAGATTGTCCCTTTCCTCTAATGTCACCCACCTGCCATTGTGGAGATGCTTCCTTCTGCACAAGGAAGACAATCATAGCAGCAGATGAGCTTCCCTTCCAGTTCCACCTTCATGAATCCAGGACGACAGTTTTCCACACACCTGGAAGGAGGGAGAGTCTGGGCAGAGGGAGGAAGGCGATCCAGAAAATTATTTATAATTTATTTTCCACCAAGGGGCAAAGTAGAAAGAGATTGTTGATCTCCACTTCAAGAGTCAGCTTTGCTAAATTGGAAGCCTATATAAAAAACTCAACAATCATGCTGCTTCCCTTTTCTTCTGTCTTCCTCATTTTTGGTCTACTTCCATTTTTTGTTTAGGCTGTAAATTTACATATTCGATTGCTGTAAATGTGTTCAATCCTATGTAAAGGCAGATATTTGTTTGTCTGGTCACAATGAACAATGAACATATCTGCTGAACAAAACTCCACATTGGTGACAAGAAGGGCATCCGGCCAGTAAGCACACTGCTAGCTCCATTCAGTTGCCCAGACTCCACACCGCAAGGGATTGTGGAGTTGTTAAAAGAATGATGATGATGAATTGCTAAAGGTAAATGGATTTTTCTCCTTTAGGGAAATGAATTCAGACCTACCCTGCTTCAAATGCATGTCCCTTCAGAGAAAATTATGAATTGTTTTCTTAAATTGTTATGGATATATTTCTTACAGGCAGCCTCGTTTCTAATGAAAGAATTTGTTGCCTCTCTGTGAAATTGTAGACAACATGAGAATATATCTGCTGAACAAAAACTCTGCATTGGTGACAAGAAGGGCATCCGGCCGGTAAATACTCTGCTAGCTCCATTCAGTTGCCCAGACTCCACCCCACAAGGGATGATGGGGTTGTTAAAACTATGATGATGATGAATTGCTAAAGGTAAATGGATTTTTCTCCTTTAGGGAAAGGAATTCAGACCTACCCTGTTTTAAATGCACATCCCTTCAGAGAAAATTATGAATTGTTTTCTTAAATTGTGAAAGATATACTTCTCATAGACAGCTTCATTTCTAATGAAAGAATTTGTTGCCTCTCTGGGAAACATTCAAAGCCACTCTCTGACCCAAGAAAGCAATCCAATTGGTAAGAGATTTACCAAGACTGAAATAAAGGTTTTCCCCCCACCTGGTTCATCTTATCCATCTCTGCCACATCCTTTGGATACAACATAAACTTGAAATCCAGGGATCCTTGTTTTTCTAGGCTTCCAATTATTATTCTGTGAACTGTGCTTTTGTGAAGCAGCCAGTTGACAATGTCCAGGTCCACTGCCAGAACTCCATTCTCACCGAGAGACACTCCAGCTATGGATTTATTATAAAACTCAGAGTTTCCAAGGAAGGGATGAAGCTGGAATGGAAGAAACAATGGGACATGGCACACTACCCATCTGGTTCTGTTACACAAAGGTGGTACATTCCTACTGCACAATCCCTTTTGTTCATCCATACAAGACATAGAGCCATGTTAATTGTGAGAGTGCCTTCTGCCCAAAACATCAGCCCACCTTTCATGCCCTCAAAACAAGAATAAATTTACAAGTTTACCCATAATTCCCTCTTATGGGAACTTGGTGTCAGGGTTCCGATGGATGCCCTAATTAATTCAAGAGCCTTGAGCCAAGTTTCAAAAGAAATCCAATTATTTATTAGGAGCAACTTGTCAGCACTTTCCCAAGTGCAGTTGGTTCTGCCCCAGGTAATTTACTGCCCGCCTAAGACCCTGTTTTCCCCCTCCTCCCAGGGTGTGTCATAAATCACATTCTCAAACTGAGCACTTTTGTGGGCTATAGAAAACACATCTCTCCACCTTGCACTCTGGAGAAAGGAATCCGTGGAATGTGCTTCTGGTCAGAGCAACCAAGCTTCTCCATCAGTTCTCCCCCCTTTTGCCTATGGCAACTCAAGAGCAGGCCAGGAATGCTTTACGAGTTGACATTAGGATATCTGATGGATCCTGTTCTCTGGACCAATCCACTCCTGCTTGCAAAGGGAAAAGGGACATCAAATGATATTTGATCATTTGAAAAAGATGGCTAAACAGTGAAGATCTAGTAATATTCTCTTTCAAAACCATTGTCAGTTTCCATCCATTGCTTCTTGTCCTGTTCTCAGGTACTTTGGAGAATAGCTTGACTTTCTCTTCTCTGTGACAATCCCTGTGATATTGTAAGATGTCTATCATGTCTCCCACCCCTAGAACATTCTGTTTGAAAATTTAGAAGATTTAGGAGAAGAGTATGTTCCAAAGAAAGGGGAGAAATGAAGGGAACACAAAAGGAAGAGTAATGGAAAGTTCAAATTGATTTCTTTATTCAGAATAAATTATCTTTGTCAGAATAGCTGCCCAGCTCTTACAATTACAAAAGAGATTCGTGATGGCAGGAGAGATACATGGAAGAGAAAAGAAATACCTGCCAAGCCTTCAGCCTTGAAGTTTCCAAGCTGTTATTGTCTCTCATCTTTGTCCTCCTGGATCTGGACAAATCAGCTGCATGTAAGGCCCGTGCCAGAGCCCAGATGGTGCTGTAAATAAAATAGTTGTCCAGACACAGGATTGGATCCATCTCCTCCTGGGACAAAGCCTGCAGTTCTTCCCTCTCTCTGCAACGTCTCCAGACTTTCACGGAAAAGTCTTCCTTGGTGTAGGAGCACAGAAAGGATTTACCTGCTAAGCTTCTCATGAAAGCATCAAACTGATTATACCCACCATGCTTCATCACTTGATTTGACTTAAAAACAAAGGAAAAAATGCTATGGATGTTTAGGTAAAGAATTCCATTCTTTTTCAAATAAGTGCTTAAATCCCAGAGTACTGTTGTCACTAGGACTTTTCCTGCAGGAGATTTCATAATCCTTTTATGTAACAGATACAGAAGTGATATTCCTGTGGTGATTGTACCAGTCTCTGCAGCATAAAGAGACACGTTCACTTTGATCCAGTTGTGATACTCACGAAATTCTATAAAATTATCAAGACTTGGTGAAAAAGCCTGTGATATAATGGGGCAAATGCCATTTCTTTCCAGCATGGAAGTCAATGTTTTCATGAATTTCTGCCCCTGGTCACTGTCCGGAGCAAGCAACCCAACCAAAGTCCACCTGAAATGGAGGAGCAGCTTGACCATTCCTGAATACTGGAATCCTTCAGCAGGGAGCATTGGGTAGAAGAAAGGAAACCCAGTTTTATCCGTCAGAATTTGGGAAACAAAATTGTAATTAATCTGAAAAGGAAGGAAAAGTGGGTACTTTACCTGAGATCCATAAGACCAAAATGTAAGGTGTAAGTCACTGTCCCTATTGAAGATTAAGTCCACTCTTTGCAGTGAAGACCTATTTCTCAGTCATGACTTTATGCATTACTTCCCTCCTCATTTGCTCCTTGACAGAATTTTTAGCCCAGAAAAGGTTCCCCCATCTGGACCATGACCACAACGAGAGCAGATATGTTTACTTTACTCCTTCCCTCCTTTTGGATCATCAGATCCATCCTCCTTAAGGTTTTCTATTTCCATGATAAAATCCTGGTCTTCATAAACAAGTGATTGGCCATCTTCTAAAATAAAGCCAGGTCATGACACACACTTGAAAGTAAATCAGGAAGCTTGTAATTGGGAAGTCTGTCTGGCAAGAACAAAGACTGCTTATCCACAGGAAATATGCACGTGTAAAGTTTGTAGCCATTCTGGGTAGTTAGAAAGCTGATAGAAGTAAGGAAGAGGTAGGCAACTTGCAGACCTCAGCTAGAAGTTAGGAATAGAGATGGCTTGGAGCCAGTGGTGGGATTCAGCCAGTTCACACCACTTCGGGAGAACCAATTGTAAAGTTTCTGAGCAGTTTGGTGAACTTGTTGTTGGAATAAGTCATTAGGGCAGAGAACCAGTTGTTAAAGTATTTGAATCCCACCACTGCTTGAAGCAAATAAAATGTGTATTAGATAACTCCTGAGCAGTGGTGGTATTCAAATAAAGTTGCCACCAGTTCGGTGGGCGTGGCTTGGTGGCCGCGCTTTGCGCGCATGCACACATTTTGCGTGCACGCGTGTGCCAAACACACACTTTGCTCAGTCGCAGAAGCATTCTAACTTGCCTCCTGCAATCCTGCACGATGGTGGTCACTGCAGCAGCCGCTGTGTGGCGCTATTCTGTGCCGTGCAAAGCAGCTGCACTTTGAATTCTGGCCATAAAAGTGAGTATGGGAGCCCAGGTGGGTGGGTGGGCCAACCACAGAGCAGCGAAGAGAACCGGTTCAGTCTCCACTGATCATCGCTGCTACTGGCTCTCCAGAACCGTGCAGAACCGGTCGAATACCATCACTGCTCCTGAGGCATTCATTAGCCAAGGCTTAGGAATAGGGACAGCTGGAGACCAATAGAACAAATTGTAGAATTATTACTAAAATGTTTATTAGATTATATTTCTTATTAATCCTGCCTTTACCTTCCTTCTCTTTTAGTGAAAATGTATAAAACTTACTTAATCTTTTGTTCTTGGTTCTTGGCATTTTGGCCAGGAGCCCTTTTCCTTGGGGTACTCCAATAAAAAGCAATCAGAAAACCTGCAACCATTATCGGCTTCGCCACCAGGCTCAGACCCAAATTGGGGACAACACAAGGAAGGATCTCTCATTCATTGTAACTGGTTTTTCTAGCAAAGACTCACCTGTGGCATTTTGTAGGTGCCCAACATAGATGATATCTGGATGGAGAAGCCAGTCTCAGCCCCTTCAAGAACAGCCACTGTGTTTCTCTGCCTCCCACAACTGTAGTTGGGGACATTGGCCTCCCCGTCTGAAAGCAGGTCCAGCAAAGCATCAGAAGTCTTTTCTGGATGGAAATAATTTTCATAAATATTGTAGCCCAGGGTGATGTTGGGTAAGAGACTGGAATCCTGGTTGATCTCCTGGATAGCAAAAAGGAAGGATAGCATCTTCCAGTATTTTGATTGCATTACCCTGCAGGGATAATGTATTTAGCATACAGTAATCAAAATACTCTTTACCAAAATACATCTAATCTGCATCAGCCTAGAAATTACTCTGATTAGAGCAGTGCAGAAACAAATGTAACCTACAAGTAATTAAAAAATTGTAAACTATATTAACAAAATATATCTGATTATAGTTCATAGCACAAATCAGGGGTGTGACTGCTGAGAAGCTGTAAAGCATTTGATGAGATATGTGGATGGATTGTTCCATCTCTCTCAAGGAAGCTAAGGCATCTCCCAAGATATATGACATATTTTAATGAAACTCTGGGATTCATTCAATATGTTTTTGATTTTAGGATACTCGGTGCAATTTAAGTATAAGGGAATCTATTTATAATTAGCTTTCGCATTCTTGATGTTGTCAATATCCTTGGAATTGGTCTAAGATTTCTGATTCACTTATATATATTTTTCTCTCTAGTAATGTTTTCCAATATTTAATATTTGGATTGCTTGACTTTATAATAAATGTAAAATCATGAAGTGCACACTCAGACACAAATCCACACAGATAATGAGGAGCTGTGACACTCCGCAAAGCCAATAAAATATTGTTTCCTGCATACATTTGAATTTTGATGTGAAAAGTCTTTGACAGGAGTCTTAATCAGTGGTGGGATTCAGCCAGTTCGCACCACTTCAGCAGAACCAGTTGTTAACTTACTGAGCAGTTTGGTGAACTGGTTGTTGGAAGAAATCATTAGGGTAGAGAACCAGTTGTTAACTTATTTGAATCCCACCACTGGTCTTAATTTCAATTATTATAAGATTAAAGAACATCACCTTAAAATAGGAATGTACGACAAGGCAATTGAATAATAAATTCTGATCTGGGATTTTTTTAATATTATTGATGAATGTAAAAACCAGAAACAAAAGGGAGAGGGAAAAATATAGCATTCTTTTATTTTGGGGTCTGTGTTGTATTCTTTATGGGGTAAGGGAGGTGTACAAGGGAGTATCCACTTTCTCCTCTCTAGCCACAGTTTATGTCAACCAAAGTGGATGTTCATTCTTCAAATCCAAGAAGGAAAGAAAATTTTCAAGAAAACACCTGAAAATTTCAAAGAAGGCTTATCATCTGTGGGGGCTATAATAGACCAAAAGAAGAAATGGCACAGTGGAACTGTTGAAATAAGTCAGAAACAAGGTTGCTCTAATGTAGTGCTAGAAGATAGACTTACCCTGATAACTGAGTCAAAGGATATTTTTCAAAACTTATTATTCGGAAAAAACCCTGACTTTCAGAGATGATGCCACCAATGGAAAGCTCTCCCAGCTTGTAATGATTCCTTGGGGCCACCTCATCCATCTCCAGAGTCAGGGGGCATTTGGCTTTCAGCAGCCCTCCGACCCCCTGAACCCATAAAAGAAGCAGCAGAAACAGCATCAACATAACGTGTTTCTGATAGAGCCTCCACCTCATACGTGAATTATACAAAGAGTGAGAAAAAGAGTCAGGAGAAAGCTTTTTTATTTCACACAGAAACCGGACAAAGCTTCATTTCTGAACCTCATTAGAAGGGAAAAATACATCCCCAATTGCCCCTTTCTTTCTCTCTAGAATTATTTATGCACCCACAGATTTCCAGTGCCATGACACCAGTCCACAAGGCTTTTGTGTGAAATTAAAGTGGAAACCTGTTATTAAGGTATCTGTATCAAATCTTCTGACACATTTCTAGAGAATTAGCACCAAGACAACAATTGAATCACTATAATCTGGATAATGACCAATGGGGAGAGAAATTACAGATGAGGCTCCACACCTTTGGAGATGAGCCGCTGAGTGAGACAGGGAACCTGGACTCCAGATTTCTGTAAGAAGTTGTCTTGGTGCAAAACCAGCATCAAGAGGGGGTGTTGGCAGGTGTGTAAGTGTTGGAAGTTCAAACCCAGCCCTCCCCTAGTAAAATTAAATATTTTATGATATATTAAAAAGGCAGAATATTTCCCCTAAAAGAGAAGTCCAGACAAGGAATAATGGATGGAAACTGAACAAGGAGAGATTTAACCTGGAAATAAGGAGAAACTTTCTGACAGTGAGAGCAATCAACCAATGGAACAGCTTGCCCTTGGAAGTTGTGGGAGTGCCATCAGTTGAGATTTTCAATAAGAGATTGGACTGCCATTTGTCAGAAATGGTGTAGGGTCTCCCCTTGGGCAGGGGGTTGGACTAGATGACCTACAAAGTCCCTTCCAACTCTGATTATCTGTTATCTGTTAAGTAGAAACTCAGAGAGGCAGAAACTCAACTCCATCCCACCTTTGTTAATGGGCCATTAAGGCCTGGGCCAGTCTATTCTACGTAACAAAGATCTAACTTCTTCAGGCAGAATCATTTAATTGCTCTTCATTGCACCACCCACTAAGTTTCAACCAAATGTAGCACCCAAGACAACTTAAAAGTTAGCTATGATCTCTGACAACAACCAATCAGAATACACTTCCTGTGCTCCAGGAAGTTCAAAGCCCAGAGAGGGTATAAAACCCAGGGACTCATAGCATCTCTTCCCTTTTTCTTCACCCAAGAGCTCCAAGGCATGTGGTCCTGTCCACCATTAAACCATCTTTCCAAACAGCCTCCATGTTTCCAGTGTCTTTTTCCCCACTTGGAACTTAACCCAGATGGACATTTCTTCCAACATAAGTAATCACACATTGTTCTGGATAAAGTTGGTCTCTATTTGTGCTGGACTTTATTGTTAAATCAGTGAAGGAAGCATCTGTGTTACATTCACAGTTGGTCCTCTTTGGAATAAGGACAATAACTCAAGTATTGGAACCACCTACCTTCCTTTTTTCTTTTACTTCTTTTCTGGAAGTAACCAACCCACAGCAAATCTCCCAAGAATTTATTCTATTTGATCAATAGTTTTGGCTTCCAGTTCTCCTGTTTGCCTCCTCCCAGTTTTAAGAACAATTATTCTATATTGAAGGGGGGAAATTTTTTCCTTGAGAAGGTGGAAGTAAACCATAGGGTGTAACTGTTCCATATTAGCAGGCTTGTAACCCCGCATTCCTATTGGTCCAGACAAGCCGGATCGTGATTGGACGGCTTGAACGTTACTGATTGGCTCTTACAGGGTTTGCCGTGATTGGCTAATAGCAAGCACGGCAAACTCAAACAGTTGTCATTGGCTGCCTAGCCGCGGCCAGCTCTATAAGAAGAGCTGCCACGCGCTGGGGTTTTGTCTCAGATTATATCTACTAAATAAAGAGCTGTTGTTCACTACCCATGCCTCGCCTATCCTTGGGACCCACCGACCGAACTTAACACTGGCGACGAGGGTGGGATACTGAGACAATGAGACTAACCAGCACGTGGCAAACGGCGCCAAGACGACCAGCGAAATGGCCAGCAGCACCACGCCGCCTGCACCGTTCAACCCAGCCAGCGAGGACTGGGAGTCCTACATTGATCATTTCCAAATGTTCTTGGAATCCAACAACTTGAAAGACGCCACTGGTAGCAAGAAACGGGTGGTTTTTCTGACGCACTGCGGGCCCGCTATTTTTAAAATGGCTAAAGCACTAGCAAAGCCCACAGATGTCAAAACAATGGATTGGGACAACCTAGCTCCCATCCTCTGAAACCACTATGCTCTGGCCGTACCGACTCTTATCCGAAGGCATGATTTTTATCAAAAAGACCAGCGCGAGGGCGAAAGCATCGGTGAATTCGTGGCCGACCTGAGGGACCTTGGAGGTTTGTGCGGATTCGCCAACTTAGACGAGGCCATGCACGACCGGGTCATTCTCGGCCTGAAAGACCCAGGTCTCCAAAGCAGACTGATGGCCAAGGGTGACATCTCCCTCGCCGACGCCATAGCCGAGGCAACTGTGGCCGAAGCTACCCGCAAATCAGCAGCCAGAATGCGATGTTCAAATGGAACTGACCGTCAACTGACCAGCGAGGCGACTACCACACCAGAAAGACTTGCAACCACCGCACACCATGGCGACACCGAATCCCTTTCTGACAGTGAAAAAGAAGAAATTCACCGACTTCAGTCAGAACGCGATCGACGAGACCGGCGGGGTCGTAAGTCAGGGTACCAATGTGCCAGCTGTGGAGGAAATCACCCACGTTCCGAATGGAAGTTCCTGGACGCCGTTTGCCGACATTGTGAGAAGCGGGGGCATATCGCTAAAGTATGCTGAAATAGAAGAAATTTCAGCCCCCGGCGTCGAGGCAACAGCCCGAGAAGACAAGATGGCACCCCCACCAAAAACCGGGACCGCCAGACTGACAGCCGTTGGAGCCGGGATAGCCAAAATAAAAGATTCAATGAGGCACCGTGCAGAGAAGAAACACACCAACCAGTTATCATCGCCCATTCTTCACCAATAGATGCAAGGAAGGTACGCATCGAGGTTGCTATCGAAGACCAACCATGCACCATGGAGGTAGACTCTGGCTCATATCTCTCCATGGTCTCCTGGCACACCATAAAGCATCTAATATCTAGCATACGCCGCCAGGAACTAAGCGACCAGAAATTGATCTTGAAGGACTACCAAGGGAACCGCATCCCGGTAGCTGGCATTGGGCATTTCAAGATCGCCTTCAAAAACCGCACCAACGTCCTACCACTCACAATTGTGGAAAAGGACCGCCCCAGCTTACTCGGATTACAGTGGTTCAGTCTTAGCCCAGACATCGCTCCCATCCGCCTCAAGCCGCGCCGAGTGCCATTTGCACTCAAGCCTAAGATTGACGAGCAATTAAATAAGCTCATAGCGCAAGGTGTATTAGAGCCCATCGACCATGCCCGTTGGGAGACACCCATTGTCACCCCCCATCAAACCAGATGGCTCCCTGAGAATTTGTGGAGACTACAAGGCCACCCTCAACCATGCACTGCAGCAGAGTGCCTACCCTGTGCCAGTAGTCCAACATCTCCTGCACTCACTGGGGGGTGGCAGAATCTTTGCGAAGCTTGATCTGACACAAGCCTATCAGCAACTGCCGGTCGATGCTGAAACCGCCGAGGCACAAACAATTGTGACACATCGAGGGGCATTTAAATGCAACCGACTCCAATTTGGAGTCAGCGTCGCACCAGGGATTTTCCAAAGCCTAATGGAAAGACTACTGCAGGGAATTAAAGGAGTCGTACCCTATTTCGATGACGTTCTAATAGCAGCCCCCAATAAAAAACAACTGGAGAAACGGCTTAGAGCGGTTTTACAGAAATTTAAAGACTCCGGCCTCAAGGTAAAAAAAGAGAAGTGCCAGCTATGTACTGAAAGGGTTGAATTCCTAGGATACCTCCTAGACAAGCATGGAATTCACCCTACTGACAAAAAATTAAAAGCCATCAAAGAAGCCCCTAGACCAAAAAATAAAACGGAGCTCCAAGCATTCCTCGGACTCATTAATTTCTATAATGTTTTCCTACCCCAGAAGGCGACTGTCGTGGAACCTTTGCATAGACTCTTGGATAAAACGGCATCCTGGATCTGGGGAAGGCGAGAGGAACGTGCTTTCCAACAAATAAAAAATCTCTTAACTTCCGACACAGTCCTTATTCAGTATAATGAAACCCTGCCGCTGACTGTCACATGTGACGCATCACCTTTTGGTGTCGGGGCAATACTAAGCCACACCTTGCCGAACGGCGAAGAGGCCCCCATCGCATTCTTCTCCAGAACCCTGTCCAAGCCAGAGAGGAACTACAGCCAGCTGGACAAAGAAGCCCTAGCCATCGTCTCCACAGTGAAAAGATTCCACTAATACATTTATGGTAGGACCTTTTCAATTATTACGGACCACAAACCCCTACTAGGTATTTTGGCAGGGAACAAACCCACTCCAAACATCCTGTCATCTAGGATGACAAGATGGTCTGAATTTCTTGCTGCTTATAATTACCATTTAGCACACCGGCCCGGCAAGACCATCTCGCACGCTGATGCTTTAAGCCGATCCCCCCTACCAGATATCCTAGACGACCCAGCACCCACCTTATCTATTTTACAAATAGAAACAATAACCACGCCACCACTGACAGCGCAAGACATTGCCCGTGAAACAAAAAGGGACAAACGATTGGCACGAGTCCTCAGCTGGGTGGAGAGGGGTTGGCCGGAAAGCGAAAAAAATGAACTCTTTAAACCATTTAAAAACCGGCAAACCAAACTTTTTTCACAAAGAGGGTGCATTCTTTGGGGAGACCGGGTGGTTATACCTGAAATATTACAAAAAAAAGTCCTAAAGATGCTACACGACGGGCACCCAGGCATAGTACGAATGAAAGCCCTGGCCAGAAGCTACGCATGGTGGCCAGGCATGGACAAACAAATAGAGACTTGGGTCGCCGGTTGCAGCAGATGCCAAGAAACCCGCTCGGCTCCCCCCGCAGCTCCACCGCTGGAATGGGAAACCCCCAGAGGCTCCTGGTCATGAATCCATATTGACTTCGCGGGGCCAACCAAAGGACATACCTTTTTAATCACTGTTGATGCCTATTTGAATTGGCTCGAAGTTAGCAAAATGAAGACAACCACCACAGAAGCCGTCATCAAAAAATTGAAGAAACTTTTCGCCACGCATGGTATGCCAGATGTGATAGTATCTGACAATGGACCTCAATTTACTGCATTGGCGTTTGAGCAATACTTGGCAGACCGTGGCATCTGACACGCATTGACATCGCCCGCTCACCCGGCGGCGAATGGGCGGGCTGAACGCATGGTTCAGTTCACAAAGAAAACTATCCAAAAAATTGAACATGGCAACATCCATGAAAAAATCAGCAAAATGCTCTTAATACAACACATCACACCCAACTCCACCACGAACAAATGCCCAGCGGAATTGCTCATGGGCAGAAGACTCCGGTCACCTCTAGACCGTTTGCACCCTACTTACACTCCAGAGAAACCCCCTGGATCTACAAGCCGACACCGAGCTTTCAATGTGGGAGACACTGTCTTCGCTAAAAACTTTACCGGGGACCCACTATGGCTACCGGCAAAGATCACCCAAGTCACCGGCCCCCGCTCCTACCAGCTCCAGACCACCGACGGTAGGAGCTGGAAACGGCACATTGACCAGCTACGATCTAGACTGGCCATTTTTCCCCTCACAGACTCTAACCAAGAAATCAGAGGGGGGGGGGGGGAAACCTCAAACTTAGAAAAAGAACCGGTATCTGGACTTCCGGTTTGTCGGCTTCGCAAGCGGCAGGTATTCGCAATACTGCGCGATCCCTGCTGCGCTAGCCGTTTTTGGTGCTCCGATCCGGACGGGTTTGGAGCTAAGGCTGCCCTGCAGGGGAGGCTGAAGATAGGGGGGATCCGGAGAGGGGTTTGGGGGTGTTGCAGACCCCCTCCCTGGCCGGCAGAACCCCCTTTTCCCAAGACGTTGCAGCGGCGGTCTGCAATGGCCGCCACAAAGAAGCCGGCAGCTGGGTAAGAATGGGCAGGAGGAAGAGGAGAAAGCCTTTGAGAGTGAAAGTTTTCTTGGTTGACCCAGGACTCTAAGACATATTTAACACAATTCCTGGAAATTATGGCTTTTTGAATGATTCTTTCCAGAAGAGTAAATAAGCGGCAATTTTGAGGTGCTGAAAGGAAAGTTTACTCTCCTTCCCTATGGAATCAATAAGTGGATACTGAGAAACCTGTATTTTTCAGGTAAAAACTAGCTTTATGTGATAAGTGGGAAGGGAGAGGACAAAAAATATATTTATATGTTAAGATTTTGTTGGAGGAGATGCCTTAAGGATTTGAAGACTGAAATATATTCCAATAAGGCTTTAAGATACAGATTTGGACTTTCTTTTTTTTGATTGATACTACCCCAGGAAGAGAAAGTGAGAACTTTGTCTTGGCTTGGATTGATTGAGGACTTTGGGATTGTTCTATTTTTTTGAAATATCTTGGTTGGTGCAAGAAGAAAGAGGGGGAAAAAAAAGAAAAGAAAAGATTTATAATGGCTTTTTTTGCTGAGGAACTGAGAAAAGAATATGAGCAAACAAAAACAGATGGCAAAGATGGTGTGAAAGAAGCCTTCCTTTTTTTAGAAATGGCGCTTGCTAACTATCAACAAACACTACAACAGATGGAGGCAGCAGCAGCAGCAGAAGAAGAAGAAGAAGAAGAAGCCATCTTTAATGAATTTCAAAATTTAACTAAGAAAGAAGGAAGAAAGAAAGGAAGGAAAATGAAGGACTTAAGATTTAAAAAAACACTCAAGAAAGAGAAAAATAAGGTGCAAAATCAATATAATGATAGTAAACAAAAGAAAAAAGGAATACAACAGAGAAGGGAAGCCAGTAAGGCAGAGGCTAGGAGAAGGGGGGGTAGAATGGTCTGGTGGGGGAAGAAAGAAAGGGAAAAGGTGGAGAAAAGCCACAAAGTTTTGAAATCAGATGGGAAAAGAGGAATCTTTTTTAGGGACAAAGGGTAAAGTACAATTTCTTTAAAAAAGATTTTGCAAGGTACATAAGATGGTATTGTAGCATTTGTATTAGAAATAGAAAATTAGAATGGTTTAAGAGTTAATAAGAGATTAAAATGTTGAAATGTTTAGTAATGATTGATTTTAAAATTTAATAAAATATTAAAGGGAATGTTTAGAATATTGAGTTTTAATTAAAGAGTTTAATATGACTATGGTATTGATGTTATTATAAAATTATTATAGTAGCATTTGTCTTTGGAAAAGGCAATGGGAATGTTATAAGATTCAATATTTAGATCTATTATTTAACTATGTATTTAATCATTTTGGATGTATTATTTTTCTTTTATTAAAAAAATAATAATTAGTAGATAGAATGTACCAAGCAGAATCAGATTGGGTATTAGGTGTTATTTTAAATGTTAATCTAATTAATTTAGGGGGAAGATAGAAAGGCATCATACTCTGATTAGTGATTTCAGGAGAAATTCTTTTTTTTTTTTATTATAAGGAATGAGACAGAGGGATAATAAAGAATGGACAAAAG